CTGTGTAATATTCCATCGTGTGTGTGCGTGTGTGCGTGTGTGTGTGTGTGTGTGTGTGTGTGTGTGTACCACATCTTCATCCGTTCATCTATCAATGGACAGTCATGTTGCTTCTATAGCTTGGCTATTGTAAATAATGCAATAAACATAGGGGTGCATATATCTTTTTGAATTAGTGTTGTTCCATATGTTCAAAAGCTAGAGGAAAGGCTAATATGTTAAGTAGAGATATGGATGATAAACAAAGACCCAAACCGAACTTCTGTAGATGAAAACAATAATATCTGAGATGAAAAATACACTAGAAAGATAAATGGCAGATTAGGCATTACAGAAGAAAAGGTTAGTGAATTCCAAGACATATCATTAGAAATAAATGAAATACACAGAGGGAAAAAATGGCTAAAATATGAACAACACATCAGTGAGCTGATAACTACTTCAAGCAGCCTAATATACATGTAATTGGAATCTGCATAAGAGAAGAAGGCAGCATAAAAAAAATACTTGAAGAAATGATGGCTGAAAAATTTCCAGATTTGTAGAAGTCAATTGTTAATGTCTAAATTTGAAGAAAATAGCAATATAATGATGCTATTTAGAAATGTAAAGGTAATGCCAACAGAAATACCTAATGGAAGGGCGCCTAGGTGGCTCAGTTGGTTAAGCATCTGACTCTTGATTTTGGCTCACGTCTTGATCTCATGGTTCATGAGATAGAGCCCCACATCGAGCTCTGAGCTAGCAGCACCAAGGCTGCTTGGGATTCTCTTTCTCCCTCACTCTCTGCTCCTCCCCTGCTTGCTCTCTCTCTTTTTCTCTCAAAATAAATAAACTTAAAAAAAAAGAAATACCTAATAGAGTTGAAATTGCTTGGCTTTGTTGGAAAAGTGTAGACTTCCTGGGTTTGAATCCTGCCTCTATCCCTTACTAGCTGGGTGATTTTAGGCAAGTCATATAACCTCTCTGAGCTTCATTCTCTCACTCCTAAAATGGGCATAATAATAGTGTTTATTTCATGAGGTTTTTATAAGGGTTAGATGAGTTAATACTTATAAGGCCTTAGAATAATGCCCAACACAAAGTAAATGTTCAATATTATTATTGGAGAGCAGAAATTGGGAGTGAGGAGAAGATTGTTATTTTTTTGCAATATGAATGTTAGTAATATTTGACTTTTTAACTATGTGCAAGTATTACTTGAATATAAATAACTTTTAAATGTTTAAGAAGAGGGACGCCTGGATGGCTCAGTTGGTTAAGCGTCCAACTTTGGCTCAGGTCATGATCTCGTGGCTCGTGGTTTTGAGCCCCGCGTTGGGCTCTGTGCTGACAGCTCGGAGCCTGGAGCCTGCTTCGGATTCTGTGTCTCCCTGTCTATCTTCCCCTTCCCTGATCACACACTCTCTCTCTCCTAAAAATAAACATTAAAAAGTAAATAAGTACATAAATAAATGTTTAAGAAGCATAAATCAGAGGTGAGGAAATGGAAATACCTTCAAGAATTTTGCCATAAAGGGGGGCACCTGGGTGGCTCAGTCGGTTGAGTGTCCAACCTTGGCTCAGGTCATGATCTCACAGTTTGTGAGTTTGAGCCCCACATCAGGGTCATTGATATCAATGCAGAGCCCACTTCATATCCTCTGTCCTTCCCTCTCTCTGCCTCTCCCTGTCTTGTGTACCTGATGTCTCTCTCTCTCTCTCTCTCCCACTCTCTCTCAAAAATAAACATTAAAAAAGGAGTTTGTCATGAGGGAAAGAAAGAGATAAGGCAATGGCTAGAGTAGGTAGGAGGTAGAGGAATGTTTTAGATAGGAGAGACATGAGTGGATTTTTAAAAGTCCATGTGAAGAAGACCAAAGCAGGAGGCATCACAATCCCAGACTTTAGCCTCTACTACAAAGCTGTCATCATCAAGACAGCATGGTATTGGCACAAAAACAGACACATAGACCAATGGAATAGAATAGAAACCCCAGAACTAGACCCACAAACGTATGGCCAACTCATCTTTGACAAAGCAGGAAAGAACATCCAATGGAAAAAAGACAGTCTCTTTAACAAATGGTGCTGGGACAACTGGACAGCAACATGCAGAAGGTTGAAACTAGACCACTTTCTCACACCATTCACAAAAATAAACTCAAAATGGATAAAGGACCTGAATGAGAGACAGGAAACCATCAAAACCTTAGAGGAGAAAGCAGGAAAAGACCTCTCTGACCTCAGCCGTAGCAATCTCTTACTCGACACATCCCCAAAGGCAAGGGAATTAAAAGCAAAAGTGAATTACTGGGACCTTATGAAGATAAAAAGCTTCTGCACAGCCAAGGAAACAACCAACAAAACTAAAAGGCAACCAACGGAATGGGAAAAGATATTTGCAAATGACATATCGGACAAAGGGCTAGTATCCAAAATCTATAAAGAGCTCACCAAACTCCACACCCGAAAAGCAAATAACCCAGTGAAGAAATGGGCAGAAAACATGAATAGACACTTCTCTAAAGAAGACATCCGGATGGCCAACAGACACATGAAAAGATGTTCAGCGTCGCTCCTTCTCAGGGAAATACAAATCAAAACCACACTCAGGTATCACCTCACGCCAGTCAGAGTGGCCAAAATGAACAAATCAGGAGACTATAGATGCTGGCGAGGATGTGGAGAAACGGGAACCCTCTTGCACTGTTGGTGGGAATGCAAATTGGTGCAGCCGCTCTGGAAAGCAGTGTGGAGGTTCCTCAGAAAATTAAAAATAGACCTACCCTATGACCCAGCAGTAGCACTGCTAGGAATTTATCCAAGGGACACAGGAGTACTGAGGCATAGGGGCACTTGTACCCCAATGTTCATAGCATCACTCTCAACAATAGCCAAATTATGGAAAGAGCCTAAATGTCCATCAACTGATGAATGGATAAAGAAATTGTGGTTTATATACACAATGGAATACTACGTGGCAATGAGAAAAAATGAAATATGGCCTTTTGTAGCAACGTGGATGGAACTGGAGAGTGTGATGCTAAGTGAAATAAGCCATACAGAGAAAGACAGATACCATATGGTTTCACTCTTATGTGGATCCTGAGAAACTTAACAGGAACCCATGGGGGAGGGGAAGGAAAAAAAAAAAAAGAGGTTAGAGTGGGAGAGAGCCAAAGCATAAGAGACTGTTGAGAACTGAGAGCAAACTGAGGGTTGATGGGGGGTGGGAGGGAGGAGAGGGTGGGTGATGGGTATTGAGGAGGGCACCTTTTGGGATGAGCACTGGGTGTTGTATGGAAACCAATTTGACAATAAATTTCATATATAAATAAAAAATAAATAAATAAATAAATAAACTTTTAAAAAAGAAAAAAAAAGTCCATGTGAAGTCAACTAGAGAAAGGTAGAAATTGAAACTATGGTAAAAAGGAAGCATGTGGCACAAAGCACATGTCTTCTATTATAATCAAAAGGGAGGGGGAACTCATGGATGTGGATGTAGGTATGCCCCCCAACTTGGCTTGAGAAGCTGAGGAATTTGTCATTTCTTACCTACCACTCTCTCTATAAAAATAGGATGTAAAGTCATCTGCTGAGCATGAGCAGGAAGGTGGCAGGGTCGGAACTTTGAGTTGAACACAGAAAATTTGAAATGGCCATTATGGAGACAAAGCAGAAAGAAAGCTGACCAAAGCAACACAGAAGGATTTCAGGTCAGTACCGAGGGCCCAGGGGAGATTAGAAGCCATAAATTTGCGATGCAGCAGTACCAACCTCTTTGATTATTGAGTTTTCTCCCCCAGGGTTCTGCAACTCAAACATAGGCATGGAAAAGGTGAGAAGAGCTGGGCTGCTTCATGGTTGGGGGTCTTACCAGGTTGGTGGGATAAAAAGACAGTGGGGCAAGGGAACTGGGTACACAGAAAAGAGAGTGAATAGCTGAAATGAGAAATCATAGACCCTAAATAGGCCAAAGAAAGAAGTGAAGACAATAGGTAGCTGGTAGATAGGAGTCAGGCCTTAGAGGTCCCAATGAAGTTGAAGAATGGATGTACTGGAAGAAAAACAAACAACTGTAAGTACAGAGGTTGTAGTTAGAAGGTGGGATGTTTTAGTTTATTCTGAGTGATGGTGAGGTTCAGCATGTGAGCCATGGAAGTAGGTGGATGAAGGGGAGCAGAGGTGAGGGTCACTGGAGGATGGGATGGCAAGGAGCCAGGATATTAGATGGCTAGAGTATTAGATGTGGTCAGCTGCCAATGTCAGCTGGCATTAGATGTGGATGCCGCCAATGGCACCCAGAACGATGGCAGAAGCAACAGAAAGGAATACTGTGAACCCAGAGCCAAAGTCTCCAGTAAATGAGAGAGAGATAGAAGGAAGTCAGATTTGCCTAATGAGCCCCTGCAGCCCCTCGAAGCCTTGGTGATTGTACTGAGCAATGTTTCACTTTCATCTTCAGATTCTTTGCAAATGGTGTATAGATGGCCTGCTAAGGATTCATGAGTTTTCTGAAATTGTATGCGAGATTCTGTGTGTATATATCTACTATGCATTTTTTTCCTCAGGTAGAGGGCTCATGACATTCATCACTCTGTCGAAGGAGCCATTGATTAAAATAAAAGCCTAAGAATTACTGCTCTAAAGGATCTGTGTGATGGATAACTAAATGAAAGCAATGAGAACCACACAAAGATTTAGGAAGAGCACACACCTATCTCTGTGGCCAAATATTTCTCTGGCCCTACGCTAACATCAACATAGAAATCTCTAGCACGGAGTGGGCCACGAAGAGCTAGGGCACAGCTAGGGGCCATGACTGGCTGGACACTAGAGGAACAGATGAGCTACACAGAGAAAAGGGTGCCAGAAATCCACAGGGCAATGAACCACTGAGGCTTCGTACCTATCTGGTGGTGGCTGCTACATACATACATGCCTGAACGGAATTAAGGGACTTCAAGCTGCCCCCTGTTCATAAGAGCAGGCACGTAAAAAGAGAAGGAACTCACCTCTCAGCGATATTTTTTGCAGACTGGAGAAACCGTGCCTGGTCATTTTCTTTCAGGATATGTTCAGCTTGGTTGATGAGGACTGTTGACCGTTCAAGACACTGGCGGCAATTAGCAACCTGCTGTGCCAACTTTCTCAGCTTCATTACCTTCAAGGAATGAGCCAAAGAAAAATGAGATTAAATATCCAGGGCTTAATTAAAAACTATAAAACAACACGAAGGAGATTTGCTGCGGTGATTCCAAAAATAAGGCCTATTGATGTCCCAAGGTCCCTGTACTTACCACTCACCTCCTCACCCTACCCTCTACGTCTGTCTTGCCAGCCCCTCCTCCCACCTCCAGCCCACTTACCCACATTGCTTATACACCCAGTCATATACTGTAGATCATCGGCCTCCACCTTTTTATTGGTAACATTAATTTTTCTGATTATAAAAGCAATGCATGCTCACCATAGAATATTTTGAAAATAATAAAAGTATAAAAAGAAACCCCAGCACCCAGAGATCACCACTGTTTACATTTTATTGTCAATAGCTTTTCACATACGAGTTTAATAAAAAGTAACTCTTTGTTCTTTATGAGTATCTACATTTCTGTGTATATATTTCTCTATGTATCTGTATGCATACCTGTGTGTTCACAGGCCTGGGGTCACAGAAATTTCAACTCCTGTGTTAGCTGGACCCAACCATCAAGCATGGCACAAAGTACTGATTATCACTCCAGACTCTCATAACTCCTCACATTGTATACACAACATGAACTTATTATAATCACTACACTGACCGGCAGACCAATAAGCCTAAAACCATAGAGATGCACGGAGGCTCACACCTGACCTTGACCGTGCTTCTTCAATTCCCAAGCTAAAAACCTGAACGTCTTCTCTTTCCCCTTCATCTTTGTAGCTAATCAGTTAATGATTCTCATCATTTCCTTTCTAGTAGTGCCTGTTATGTTCTTCCTTTCCATTTGTGCTGGTGCTTCCCTAGTTTAGGTCTTCATCAACTCATACCAAAAACCATTCCATGGGGTGCCTGGGTGGCTAGTTGGTTAAGCATCTGACTGCAGCTCAGGTAATGATCTCACGGTCTATGAGTTCAAGCCCCATGTCAGGCTCTGCACTGACAGCTCAGAGCCAGGAGCCTGCTTCGGATTCTGTGTCTCCCTCTCTCTCTGCCCCTCCCCCACTCACTCTGTCTCAAAAATAAATAAGCATTAAGAAGTTAAAAAAGAAACACTCCATAAGCCTCTTAACTTGCTTCTCTGACTTCAGTATCATCCTGTTCTGATCTATTCTGCATACCTCTGCCATATTGATCAGTCTTCTCCCTTCCTAAGAAACTAAAATGGTTTCCCAATGCCTTTTAGATTAAGCCCAAAGTCCTTATATTAGCATGCCTGGTCCTTCCATAATTCTGACCCTCATTTCCACCATTACTTTTTTTCTTTTTTCTTTTCAGGTTGACTTATAACACATTCAGTAAAGCACCCACCTCTGAAGTGTAAAACTCAATGATTTTTTTTTTTTTGTATATACAAACACCCATGTAACCACCAACCTGGCCAAGATATAGAACATTTCCAACACCCCAGAACTGCCATCATTTTTATTGGATTCATCGCACGAGGTCAAACATTGCTTCTTCTTTGCCTCCCTCCCTACCACCTCCTTTCTTCTTATTTTTGCGATCCATGTTCACCCTGGAATAATCAGGAGGAAACTCTGACATTTGTAAAGTCAACTCTGCCTTGGCCTCACTGAAGCGGCTGTGCATTACCTTGGTCTCTTTGATTTTGACAGCAATCATTTGCTTCCTCTGCTGGATGATCTCTACCAACTCGTCACATTCTTCCATAAGTTTTGCCTCATGCATAGCAGTATTCACCTGCCAAGAAAGTCCAGAATATTACACAGTGATTGCTGCCTTTGTCCCCTGCTGCCTCTCAAAGGTTCGGATTGACAGCTAAGCATGCACAACTTCTTCCATACCTCCCTCATAAGATCCAGTCCTAGAAGAAGGGTAGAGATGATGATATTAATGATGCAAGGGCATTGAAGCACCACAGATAGGAAACTCTCCAGCCTCTGGTAGATCATGATGGTTAATGGAAGGCTGGGCAGAAGGACAGATGAGATGGGGGCATGTTATTCCCACTGTGCAACTCCCTTTACCCCAGCACCCTGTTCTCCTGCTGTTCTTTTGAAAAGACGATAAGGAGATTTAAGTATGTCAGGAAAAGAGGATCCCTCTCCACAGGCACAATAATATTGAGATAACATCGCAACAATTGATTTCTACCATCCTAAAACAATGGTTTCGATTTTCCTTGTTCCCTTCTAATTCTAAAATGTATGAATGAGGGGTGCCTGGGTGGCTCAGTTGGTTAAGTGTCCAGCTTTGGTTCAGGTCACGATCTCACAGTTCGTGGGTTCGAGCCCTGCATCAAGCTCTGTGCTGACAACTCAGAGCCAGGAGCATGCTTCAGGTTCTGTGTCTCCCTCTCTCTCTGCCCCTCTTCTGCTCTTGCTCTGTCTCTCCTTCAAAAGTAAATAAACATTAAAAAGAAAAAAATTTAAAACATATGACTGTGCAGCTATAACTTCACATCAGAGAAATGCATGTGTAGCTATATTTTCACATCGTTGCCATCATGTGTTAGTAGATACCTCTCACCTTAGGCTGTCCAGTATCTGAATACCTCTTCTATTTTGGAATACTGGCTACATCAAAATATCTCCACTGCAAAGTCAGAGTGGGGTTGTAAAAAAGAAAAGCCACCGTTTTTCATTGTCTTTCTGTATCCTGATTTCTCCTTTCTCCCATCTCTACTACTATTGACATTAGATGATAGGAAGTGCCCAGCAGGGCTAAACTGAGAGCGGGCATCTCTGGGTTGCCCAAGTAGAAAAGCAAAGGAAGGGGAACGGACTTATGTCATTTAAGCACCTAATGTTCCAATGCTTTATAGATGCATTATTTCGTGTAATTATCATAAGCACTTTATAATATAGGAGCCACCTTTATTCCCATTCCACAGATGGAGAAACTGAAGCTTGGGCAACGTGAGTAACTTGCTAGTCATTGGTAACACCAGAATTCAGACCGAGTTCTGTCAAGTGAAACCCCTGGCCTGGCTGGCTGGGTGGACAAGGCTCAGTTCCATGTGAGCAGCACACAGAGCAGTCACACAGGGAAACACAATCATTCCAAGAGTCTACTCAAGGATCCTTTACCTACTCCAAACCTGGCAAAATGCCTGTCGCTGGACCCTGCTGCCTCCTCTCTTGCCCTCGAAGGTCCCCACTGGCCAATTTTTGGTTGCTTACTTAACTGAAATAAAATACGCTGGTGGTATTTCAACCTTATTTAATTTTATTTCCACTTTCCAGAGGGAATGCCATAATGAGAGCTTCCATGTATTGGGAATAAACAGTCCCACTCCGGCCATTGTAATTTTTTTTTTCTCAGACTCCTCACCCCTTCCCTAAATTGGATCTACATTTCCAAGGCAGATATGTCACCCTTGCAAGAAACTCCCACTCATGTGAGAACAGGAGATTCATCTAGTGCGCCCTGGATCCATGCTTAGAGTATCTGTCAACTTTAGTTCCCATTTATAATTTCCTTTTGAACCTGCTGATGATGTAGGACACAATGGTGTAGTGCCTTGTTTCTTTATAATTTAGCCCTTGGGCCAACATAACACTCAATATATGCTAGGCACTACCTCAATCAGTTTACATACACTTGCTCTCTCAATCATCAAAACAATCCTCTGAGGCAGGTACCAGCAGCCACATTTCATAGATGGGAAAACTGAGAACAGAGATACTCAGTGACTCACTCCAGGTCACACACCTAGTAAGTGGCAGAGATGGGATTTGGACCCAGGCAGTCTGACACTATAGTCCATACCTTTCAAACCATCACACTAGACTGCCTCCCCAGGCTAATGTAACAAAATTCCTGTCCATTTTCTGACAACCATCACCTCTTTTGCTCCATCCATCTTTTAAAAAAAAAATATTTTAATGTTTATTTGTTTTTGAGAGAGAGAGAGAGAGAGAGCGCGCGCGTGGGGGAAGGGCAGAGAGAGAGGGAGACACAGAATCTGAAGCAGGCTCCAGGCCCTGAGCTGTCCGCACAGAGCCTGATGAGGGACTCGAACCCACAAGCTACGAGATCATGACCTGTGCCGAAGTTGGACGCTTAACCAACTGAGCCACGCAGGTGCCCCCATCTTTATTCTGTTATCCCATTCTCTTTAGTCACTCCAGATCACTTGTTGTTCCCCTAGGTGCCACACACCCTGTGCCTTTCCTCGAGACTTCATTCACTCGGAAATTCATTTCCCTATTGGTTTATTGAACAAACATCCACTGATATTTCCAGGCCTTGCTCCAAAATCATCACTTCTGCAACTTTTTCTCATCTGCTTGGACCAAATGCATCCCCTATTTATACTACCATAGCACTGTATATATAATTCAATTATACCATTTACTACCTTATACTGTAGGAATTTGTTAGTCTGTCGTCCCCACTCAAACATAAGTTCTGGAGGCCAGGGATAGTGTCTTATCTGACTGCATCTCTAACATAGTGACTGGCATACAGTAGATGTCCAGTAAATATTTGTTGTATTGAATCGAATGGGGGTAGGGAGTAGCTCACTGCTTGCTAGACATGTCTACTTGGTTACTTAAGTTACCCTAAATTCAGTATATCTAAAAACAAACTCATCATCTTCCCTCTACATCTGGCTTCCACCTCTGATTTATTTTCTTTCTTTCTTTCTTTCTTTCTTTCTTTCTTTCTTTCTTTCTTTTTCTTTCTTTCATTTTTGCTAATGCTATTATCATTACTGGAGTTACTCAGGTTGGCTTACTTCTGACTTCTACTTCTCTCTCAGCCCCCACATAAATTCACAGCAGTACTAAAGTCCTACTCTTTCTTTTCTTTTCAAACTCACTGAATTTATTCTGGCAATAAAATGAGGCTCTGAGCCAAGGAATCAATAAGCTGAAGCCCTTATCACCCTTTTGGACTGTTACTGTAAAAGCTTTATTAATTCATTCCCCACCTTCAGGATCTTTCCTTTGCCACCCACCCTCATAACCCATCCTATACATACCCTGAAATCAGGAAAAATCATCACCATCTTCATCATCAAACATGTATGAAGCATCTTTTGTGTGTAATACATTACATTCAGGCCCTGCGTTCAATAAACTTGCAATATTTAATTTTTTTTTTCTGAGAGAGAGAGTGCAAGTGGGGAAGGGCCAGAGAGAGAGGGAGACAGAGGATATGAAGTGGGCTTTGCACTGACAGGATGACAGCAGCAAGCCCGATGCAGGGCTTGAACTCACAAACTGTGAGATTAAGGCCATGAGCCGAAATTGGACATTCAACCGATTGAGCCACCCAGGTGGCCCAATAAATTTGCAATCTGAACAGGGAAAAGCCACATGCATATAAAACAAACAAGTTAAGGTAGCATACCAATGAGTGATGTAGAATATAATCTACAGAAATTGAAGGGAAAGATTGCTCTCAGGGGGAAGTGTAGAAAAGATGCCTGAATGCAGTGGGACTTGAGACTTAAAGATGGATAGGACTTAGATTTTAAAGGTAAAAAGGAGAGAAATCTTGAGCCAAGATAACAAAATTGAACCTTATTCATTAGACAACATGGTATCTTTGAAAAATATTTTTTGGGGGAGGAGGGTAGGATGGTGAGAGAATGACTTTTTAAAATACGCATATTTTGGGGGGAGTGCCTGGGTGGCTCAGTGGGTTAAGTGTCTGACTCTTGATTTCAGCTCAGGTCATGATCTCCTGGTTCATGGGATTGAGCCCTGCATCAGGCACTGTGTTGACAGTGCAGAGCCTGCTTGGGATTCTCTCTCCCTCTCTCTTTGCCCCTCTCCTGCATGCATGTACACAAACTCTCTCCCTCTCTCCCTCTCAAAATAAACTTAAAAAAATAAAAATAAAAAAATACACATTTTTAAATTGAAGTATAGTGGGCACACAATGTTACATTAGTTTCAGGTGTACAACACAGTGATTCAACAACTCTATATGTCATGCTGTGCTCACCATAAGTGTCGCTACTGTCCATCACCATTCAACACTATTACGATATCATTGACTATATTCCCTATGCTGTACCTTTCATCCTCTGTGACTTATCCATTCCATAACTGGAAGCCTGTACCCCCCCCCCGCACCCCCTTTCACCCATTTTGTCTATACCCCCCATCCCCTCCTCTGGCAACCATCAAGTTAACTTTTTCTTAAGAAAGATGACCTGGGATTGATTTGATTGGGGGTAATGGTAAGCTGGGGGAGCAATTTAGGAAATGATTTTGATGTGAACAGGGTCTAGCCAAAGAGGGTAACAGGAATCGAAAGGAAAGGTCAAATATGAGAAGCACTCCCTCGCTTGCAAAACTTCAATTAGACAGCAAGTTCCTTGAGGAAAGTTTATATGTCACTTTGTTTTTCCTGCTGTAACAGGCACAATGCCTTACACACAACATTTACTGATTGACTTAGTAAAATGAAAAATCAGAATAAGAATGACAAACATTAGAAAATGTACTATGGTAAACACATTTTGTACAGAAAATGTAGATTGAAGTGAGGGAGCTAGGGTGCGGTTTGGACAGTTGCAGTGGGCAAAATAAAACAGCCAGGCACAGGTAGCAGAAATTTGGCTGAAGAGGCAAAATCCCAAACGAAAGGTAAAGCAGTGACATTAAAATTTTTCCATGTCAAGAAGCAGCCCAAAAGAGCAGGTTCCTTGAATGTTTTCCGAACAGGAAATACTCCAGGGTAAAACTGTCTTCATGATGTGAATAAAACATCTCAAATTG